CACTAGCGTGACCTACGATTCACAAAAATCCTCCAACTTTTGGTTGGTCACTAAGTTCTGTTGATTTTCTGCCTTTTGAATCTGTCCCCTCCTTTCCTTTTCCCCGCTCCTGACAGCCCTAGTTCGGAGCCTCACTATCTCGTATCAATATTATTCCAGTCGATGCCAAAGTGCTCACCCTACAGTCTCTGCCTTCCATCCGTGCCCTTCCTTCTGCTGCCTGATCATGTCACTGCCTTGCTAGAAAACCTGCAATAGCTCCCATTACCTGCATATCCAATCCAATTTTATTCAAGGCCCTTTCAATCTAACCCCAACCCGCTTTGTCTCTAGCCATTCCTTCCTGCCCTAAAGTTTGAGCTAAACTGGCTAACAGCACATATTTCCCAGACCCTCTGACCTCACTGCTTCCTCAGCCCCCAGTGCCCTGACCTTTTCCTCCTCATTCTTCAGAGCCAGCTCCCATGCTGCCTTCCCCAGGAAGCCTTTCCTCCTCTCTGCTGCAGCAGCCGCCTGGACTGCCTTCTCCTCTGCCCACCACGGGCTTTGGACATGCCTCAAGTCTGTTCCTCTCACAGTATAGGAGGTGAACTGTCGAGGGCACAGACTCTGGAGCCATCTTGCCTGGGGCGGAAGCTTAGCTCCACCACTTACTAGCATTGGTACCATGGGCAACTCACTTCACCTCTCTGTGACTTGATTTCCTCATCTGCAAAATTGGGGACATAATAGCACCTTCCTGAGTTGCTGGGAAGGTTAAATGAGCTGATGCATTTAAGCCTTTGAACATGGTAAGTGCTGTATAAGTGTTGGCTATCATTTTACTTTACTAGCTACACATCTCTCTTCCCAAATTGACTGTGAACTCCTAGAAAGCAGGGGCTGTCTTACTCATCTCTGTGTCCCCAGTGCCTGGCACACAGTATGCACTTGGTGCATATTTGTTCAATGAATTGGCTTATTATTGCTCTGCCAGTGGTTCATTTGTTCATCAGTTAACTGGTGAGCACAGGATTATTTTCAACGAGCTTGTATTCCCCAGAGCTGGCCAGCAGCAGGTTCCAGCCCCCATGTCTAGACAAGTTTATAAATTCTGTGTATCTGGGTGACTTGGCATGGGTATCGGGTTCCTCTCAGTCTGCTTTCCTTATCTCTAGGCCCTGTTTGCTGCTCTCAGATGCCCATGAATACGGGGTGTTTCTTGTTTTACTTTATCCATAGGGGCTTTGTAATTCAATACCCTTGTCCTTGGGTTGGAATGTGTCCTTTTTCTATTGTGAAAGTTTGGTCTCTGTTGGGTGTTCAGAAGGGGCGAAAATGCCAGGACTCTGGGATGTTGTGACAACTGAATGGAAGAGGGGAAAGGGGGAAGCTTCAGAGACATAAGAGTGAGGTGGGCACAACGTATCAGGAAGCCTGGCACTGCTTGGGCTCACCTACTCTGTGTCCTTGTCCAGTGATTCAATTCCTGACTGTTTCTGACAAGAAATAATGATAGTCTTTGCCACTCAGGACTTGGCTGGAGAAATGGGTCCCATCATAAGCCCCTCAACTAAAGATGCTGATTGAGAGTTTGGAGAGGGTTCAGCAGAGAGCAAGAAGGACAATTCAGAAAGCAGAGGCTGGGAGGGTATGAGGGAGAATTCTACGAACTGGGGTGAGAGAAGGAGGTGAAATTCAGTGACTGATTTCAAGAAAATGAAGGGCATTTATACAGACATCTAGAATTTTCTACAGGGCCGGCCACGTGGCATAGGGGGTAAGTGTGCACGCTCTGCTGCTTGCGGCCCGGGTTCGGGTGCTGAGGTGGCGTCCCATATAATGTGGAGGAAGATGGGCACAGATGTTAGCCCAGGGCCAGTCTTCCTCAGCAAAAAGAGGAGGGTTGGCATGGATGTTAGCTCAGGGCTGATCTTCCTCACACACAAAAAAGAATTTTCTACAGACTTGTGCTTCAGCAGAGAAATTTAGGACAGTTCTTAGGAATATGTGGTTCTTACTGTGGATAGAAAGGGATGGCAGCTAAGACAGTTCTGTCATAGCGCCTGTTCCCTCCGGCCCAAATAGTGGCACTCCTCTGTCACCAGTGGTCAGAGAGGGCCCGGAGCAGACCAGGGCAATGTTGGAAGGGAACAGGGGGACCTCTCTCGTCTGCCCTCTTCCTACTCTCAGTTCTGAGACCCGGGAGGACTTCTGGCTGGGACGGAAGCGCCTGGCCTTTGATTCTTCTTTTACAAAGAGTCGGTCCTTCCTTTTTATCTTCTTCTCCTAGAACCGTTCATAGAAACCTGTGACTATGACTTCATTTGTGACTTCTTCCTTTCCGTCCTAGATTCATCTTTCCATTGCTTTCTCAATCCCTATTTGTCTTCCCATTTTCCTTCCTTCTCCTTTCCCACTTTCTGGGGGCTCCCCCTCTCCTCTCTCTTGCAGTTCCTTATGTGTTGGCCTGGCAGGGAGTGGCTGTAGTGTAAGCCAGAGCCTGGCATTTGCCCAATCATACCACCCACAGCCCTTAGTGACAGCCAGTGTGGGGAACTTTCCGGGCTGGGACAATCCTGGGGCTCTGGCTGCTTCAGCTGGCAAGCTGCTTGGAGACCCTAGCCCACCCTTGAAGCTGAGTTGGCAAGGATCTTAGTTTCTGTTTTGCTTGACTATGAGTGAGTTGAAATATTGCTCTATAATATCATTTCTTCATTCCTTCAACATTTACTGTGCACTTGCAACATGCCGATTACTGTTCTGGTACTGGGCAGGCAGAGAGGTAAACAAGATCCAGTTCCCACAGAGAGCTCACAAGCTGGTGTGTAGTCTGCTGCTTTTGTAATGAACTATAATACAGTGTGAAAAGTATTATATTAACAATATGCAAAAGACTCGGGTAGATTAAGGAAAATGACTCCATGGACCACGCTTCCTCTCAGATGCTGACTCCGTCTTGGGTGGTCACTTGGGTGGTTGCCATAATATAAATAAACATTCATGATGCCAGGTTATTTTGACTCTGCCTGAACAGTAGCCCATTTCCTTTCTCCTCAGGGCAACATAACAAAACGACAATAATCATTAGCCTCTTTCTATTGAGGCAACTATGCAGATATTTCTAACCCATGTTGGCTTTCAACAGCCACATTTTGACCACTTTCTAATTGAAAGGCAGACCCAGCTTTTAGTCTTGCAAAACTCTCTGAAGAATAGGGGGCTGGTGGAAGTAGCATGGGAAGAGACCTCTCATGAACGACCTCTTTCTGGAAGGGTGGTGGATGGGAGGATGCAGGGAAGCAGTAGACCTGTTGTTAGAAGACTAGAGGTCTAGTCCCAGCTATTCACCAATTAACCTAATGTTCCTGGGCCTCAGTTTCCTCATTTGCAAAATGGGGAGGATAACAGTATCCACCTTGTTGGGTCATGGCGAGACTTTGATGAGAAAATGCACATAAAGCACTTAGAATGCAGACACAGCTGTGGTGAGGATGATGACAGAGATGGTAAAGAACAAGCTGTGTGACTTTGGGAAAGTCACTTACATACTCTGGCCTCAGTTTCTTCACCTGCAGAAGGAGCAAGTCTCGTAGGATCATTTGGAATTCTTTTCAGCAACATTTCTTGAGCATCTTCCATGTTGATGCCACACTGGGGGTTCAGAGAAGGGCGAGGCCTGGCCCTCGCCCTCTGGAAGCTCACCGCTGGGGAAGGACACACATACACACAGATGACTCTCACAGAATACAAGGTCCCAAAGAGCTGCTAGCTTCACGAGAGTGAGCATTCAGGGCACGAGGGTCCTGCAGGGCTTGGTGGGGAGGCAGTGTTTGACCTGGGCTTTGAAGGGTGAGGAGAGGGAGATTGTCTTTCCCTGATGAACAACATTTTGTCCTCAGCATAAAGGCCCAACTCTTCAGCTAAGCACACCAGTTTCTACATGATCTGCTGCTTCTCTACCATTTGCCCCTTGCACTGTGATATCTTCAGTTCCTAAAAAATATACCATAACTTCTCTTGCCTTCCTCCCATCTTTGCACCTGCCAGTTCTTTTGGCCTGGAACTCCCTCCTCCCTCTGCTAGCGGGGCAGCAGAGTGGGCAAGCAAGGTGCTAGGGTCAGCCCCTGGGGTCCATCCTAGCTTTGCCTCTTACCAGCCATTGGGGCCTGGCTTGGTGAGTCAATGTCATCATCTGCAAAACGGGCATATAGGCTGATAGTGCCTACCTGCAAGGCTGGCTGTGAGGATTAAATGAGGTAATACATGCCAGGTGCTTTTCAGCTCTGCCCCCAGTAATCATTGAATAAACATGAGCTGCTGTGATGATCACTCTATGCCTGGCTCGCTCCTGCTTGTATTTCAGGTTTTAGGTTAGTCATCACCTCCTCTGGGAGGCCTTTTCCTACACAGGCCAACTCCTAAGGCCGGGTTGTGTGGTCCCCTAGGTATCTCCTCTTCTACCAGAGCACCGACATCTGTCATCTCTCAGTGTCCCCACCAGACTGCAAACTCCATGAGGACAGAGGCCAGTCGATTGTGTTCCCTGGGAGGGACACATGGTAAATAAATATTGAATGAATGTTATGGGGTGAGATCCCAGTGATCCCGGGGGTGTGGCAGAGCCTCCTGGGGCAGCCGGGGGTGGGGGTGGGCCTCTGAGCACCGTGAGGATGACCGGGCAGGTGGACTTTGACACCGCAGGCAGCAGAGAGAGCCTGGGCGTCGAAGGGGTTCAGGGTTCCTTCCTGCCCCGAGACCGACCCTGGGAGGGCGCAGAGCCTTGGGGAAAGGACGGCGCTGAGCTTTGGCGGGGTCTGCTCGCTCGGTAGAAAATGCAGCCTGACGGGTCCCGCCAGCGCGC